TACTACTACTACTCTCTCTCTCTCTCTCTCTCTCTCTCTCTCTCTCTCTCTCTCTCTCTCTCTCTCTCTCTCTCTCTCTCTCTCTCTCTCTCTCTCTCTCTCTCTCTCTCTCTCTCTCTCTCTCTCTCTCTCTCTCTCTCTCTCTCTCTCTCTCTCTCGCTCGCTCGTTCGCTCTCTCTCTCTCCCTCTAATATCTGTATCTTTTAGATTGAACAATAGGCTGAGCAAATTGCTGGAGTCAAGCCGTTGTTGTCACAGTGTCAAAGTTCACCACATCTCGCATGCATCATGTTAATTGCGCACCCACCATTAGGCAGAGTTTACCCAGGCTACTGGCTTATCTCAGAAGGGGATAATTATCCTAAGAGTCTCACAATAGTACGATGGGTGGGAACACCAGCAAGACTAGGGCGAATTTGCTCGATTGGATGAATTCATGTATTGATCCATCGCAGGGCGCTGATGGAGTACGTATTATCGAGATCAGAAGCACAAACGCATCTGGATCAAATGCAGCCCGGTCACTCGCATTTTGCCCAGAAGCCAATTTATATAGCACTATGCTTAACCTATAATTAGCCTGCAGGCACGTCGACTTACACGGCACAGATTATAACAGGGGCACCAGCTAGTAGCTATGGATTGTTCCCATATAGCAGATTGCAATAACGGACCCATTTCAAGCATGCATGGCTGCTTGACAATATGTTACAAATGCGAGAATCTTCCGATCTTACATAATGATCCACGGCTATATTAATAAAATTCTATTACTTTCATTTGCGTTAATTAAGGTATGTCGTTTATCTTATTCTTAACACCATGCCACAAAAGGCCGATGAAAAAACGTACGTAGGATTAAAAGGTTGCGCATAAGCCGACAGAACAATATATCAGGCTTTTAGTTTACCAATGTCAGACGAAAAAACTATCATCCATTCTAATCTTCCACGGTTCAGAAAAAATAAACTTGCGCAGGTTAATGCTCCCATTAACGCGGATACTCCTTCATCATTGTTAACCTTCAGCTAATTATAAGCAGTCAGTGACAGGTAGTAAGAAAGGACAAACAGTCACATAATTACGGGCCTGTAACAATATCTTCATCAGCATTAGGTTGGCCGACTCACGCGAAAGTGAAACGGCTAGAAAAACACAGGAAACTAGAGCAACATGTTCCCACCAAGTCACTGCCCTTGCCCTGAGGCACGCCTGACCTGAAGCAACCGGAGAATGAAATTCGCAGCTTACCAGTAAGCTATAGTATCGCATTATATGAGGCCCATACCCAATCCTATTGGTACCCACTGATGTAATAAACAAATGCCTAATAAAAAATAGGTAATTTGAGCCAGTGCTCGAAATAAGAAAAAAAATCAATTCAAATCAGGTTGTCCGCAACAATTTCTGGTTGTCCCCAAAAATATCCCCAAATCTCCTATAAATCACATAATAATATGATCAGAAAACACCCAAAAACAGTGGCGTAGCCAGGATTTTTTAACAAGGGGGGCCAAAACAGCAAACTGCGCAAAATAGTGGATGACTTAATATTTTAATGGCTCCTCCGCCTCCCTCTCCAGCCGCCTACGGCTGCGGCTCCTGCTACCTCTCAGCTCTGGCAATCTTTGTTTGTTGGGCGCCATGCGAAAAGGCGACATTTTGTTCATTGTTCTCTGCTCCCAAGATATGTAATTGTTCAGTGGCGGGTCTAAGATTCCAAGGAGGGGGTGAAAACAGGCGTGGGGGGTTAGGGGGTCCTCCCCCGGAAAATTGTGAAAATGTAGATCGCAGGAGATGGTATTTACGGCACCTTTAGGTACATGTACAGCCTTCATTCTGACTACGACAATTCTCTTTTTAGTAGAACAATTTTTTTTTTAACTCGGATCAACTGGATCCCACTCCCCCCCCCAACTACGCCACTGCCCAAAAAACATACTGTAGGAGTGATATCTTTAAATTTATTTTATTTCAACCTGTAAACTTAATACTTTGCATGAATCAGGCTCAAATCGACTACCAGATGCAATCATACACGCATAAAGTCAAGACACAGTACTATTTACAAACAGACCCCCATATGTACATAGCAAACATGTTTTATTTGTATGCACATGGCATGTATACCATATTATCTTGATATTATATAGCTCACAGCTCTATTGAAACAATGATTTATGCATTCCTAAACTGCTGTTGACATCTACGTAGATGCGCTTTCCCTTCTGAATATCACATCACGTGGCCCAACGTATCTACTAAGAGTGTGGCGATGCATCGAACCATGGATTAATCGAAATAGTGTTTGACTTGAGAAGGATACATCAAAAGCAAAGTAAAACATCAGTAACTATCGCTAATAGTTCGTTTTACAATTGATAGTTTCCCATAGACCTGTGCAACATTACAACAACAGGTTGGTTTATTTACCACTAAAGATGTGTTTCCCACGTTAGTATTCCTAGCGGCTATTACCGATGCTTCCGTTATTGTTGTAAGTGATTAGACTGATCCCCAGTTATCTACGCATGGTCTACTCTGCTAACTATTAAACTCGCTATGCTCATTATATATATATATATATATATATAATATATATATATATATAGTATACGTTTGTACATATGATAATATGCTATCAGGGTGCGAAATTAACGGGAGTCCGGAGTCAAATACTCCCAGATTTACTGTCGGACTCCTGATTTGACGTATGCAGGAGTCCGTGTGACTGAAAATTCTGCCATACTATCTAGTTCGTTCCAAGGCACGGCCTCGTGGAAATACCGTATTTTTTCAGCTAATATCCAAAGAATATTTGACAGACGTGCAACCGCATGCAAACTTTAAAAATAAGCACATGCGTTATTTGTTAATACTTTAATTTTGAACCTCAGAATGCGGACTCCCTCATTTTGCTGCGGACTCCCTCTTTTTGAGGATAGGGAGGGAGTCCGTTGGACTCCCGTATTCAAAACTTAATTTCTACCCCTGTGCTATGCTCGAGTGTACGGGAGAATTAAGCAACAGGGATACTAGTCTAGTAAATAATGTGAACCACAACGTACGTACACGCGTACATAACGAATACGAGTGTAATGTTATAACAATATATGACAAAATATCATAATATATCAATAGTATGAGCAACAGTATTTCTAATATTACAATACTATCACAACAGCAAAATTGCACTTAATAGTCACCCTAGTAACTACACACATCAACACACACAAAAACAAATATTATATGAAACGATGTCAATATCATAATATAAAACACAATTATTTAGGTTTGCAAATGTGACAGAGAATGATAATCATGTCATTAACCCATAAATTACTTGCCTTTCTGTATTATATTCCTACAAATTCACCGCCATCCAGTTCCTACATGCACAGATAACAACAATGTTATATTGCCTTTCCAACGCAATCTTCCCAGCAGCGATGCAACGTGTCCGTGTAATAGATGTACACGCCCTCTCTCTCTCTCCCACTCTCACTGAGACACACACAGACGCACACAGTGGCACCTTACTCACTACTGGACGTGCCTCACATTACAAGGATATGAAAGCCGTTTTGAAAACACGCGCATGGACACCGTACTCCGTTGTCAAGCTTAGGCTCTACTCCTCTGCCGGAATTCCATGCACCTGTTCCTATGGCTGCGAGCATGTAGCTACTGCAGTGGACGCATTCACGCGACACGCGCCACGGCACATTCCCGACAACGCACGCAGTATTCCCAGTAGAGGGCGTCCTTTTACTGCCGCAGTTACGGACCCTGTCAGCAGAGCAATTCGCACGCTCTTGCCTGCTCAAATGTGCGCGCAGTGCAGTTGTAATGTTCGATGATAGGATGTTAAAAGCGATTACTTATAAAGAGATTAGAAACACGCATGCAGTCAATATTTGGCAAGTCCCTGTGCAGGTTTGTCCGGTCCGACCGGTCGTACACAATGCCAACACAAAGCAGGAACATAAAAGTTTTATCGCTTGTACACAGAATGCATCTCAACTACATACAGATAGTACGTTCTATATATGTGAATGTATGGCAACACATCAACTTTTCTCAGCTACGGTGATCCACAATGACCATTACAATTTACAGGCCTCATCATAGAATAGGGTCAAGCTTGGGATGTAGCAAAAATTTAGAGTTAGTGTATGGGGTTTCTTGGGGGAAATTAGACAAAGGAGTAATGGCCAGTTTTTGGTAAAAAACGCGCATGATGGATTCAAAGGCGTACCTACAGCATGTGGATGGGGGCGAGAGAGAGAGGGGGAATTTGAATGTCTTAGACTGTATTTGAACATTTTGAACAGCGATGTTAAATTTGACAACGGCAGTGCACCACTCTGCTGCCTCTTATGACAATGACATGTATTGTGTATAAAAAAAACTCTGGTGTATTAGGCTAAGGTTGGGATTAGAGTTGGGGTTATACTAAGCTGAAGGCACATAATTAAAGGTAGGTTTAGGGTATGGTTACCCAACCTTTGGCATGCATGTACAACATATTCACCATCTTAGCCACCACAGTCCTGTACAACATAAACGAAAATAGCTTGTGAATAGTTATGATACAAATGTGCAAAGGTAAACATGGTCCAAGCACCAAATGTATACTTTTCCAGTTTAATAAGAGTCCAAATTTGATTTTTACCTGAAACACTCAACAGATAAATACAATTGACAACCCAGTGAAATAATTAAATTAAATTAAATTATGATTAAACGGTCTGCTAAGGTAGTATGTAGATGTACTGCACCTCCCTGGGCGCTATTATAAGCCCTACCACTGTCAGAGCCTATCGGGTACATAGGGTCTAACTCAGTAATGTGTAGAACCTTCAAGGCATTTACGTGAATGTACAAAATGTACTAGGCTGAATCATAGCTGCCCATGTGTTTTGTCTACATTTCGGGTGACACAAAAGCATTTCAAAACGAAACGCAAGTAGTGCTAGCACTTTGTGAAATAAATGGATAAATACATGGTGTAAAGTTGTGGAAAGTGTTCAAAAAGATAGGTGAGATGTCCATGTAGATAAATAAGTGTTAAAAAGCCCGATCATTTTGCGTTTTGGAAGCCATTTTTCGTGGAAACTGTCGGGACCCGGTGTATCTGCGAAATCTAGACGATCGGCAGCCCGGATATTGCGTGAAGCGCAAAAAACGCCGCGTAGCGGCACACTAACACAACAACGCTGCACTGAGTGAATAGCAATTTCAACGAGTCCACTATAAACGCAATTGTGGGGTTATCGCTAAATTGAGCAGTTCTGGCGATTGTACGACGGGTTTGACTACCCACGTAGCTAGAGATTTCCTAGAAATGGTCGTAATTCTTTGTTCGCTACTCGGCGCGCTTGGTTTGCTGTAAAAAACGGAGTTAAACTTTTTTTGTGCCAGCGACTAGTTCAGGCCCCCATATCAGTGACAGTGTAGTACATATGGCCTGCGATAAATGGCGCAATGAGGCTATATGCATAGCGTTTCACTACGACTTTCCTGCAGACGGCTCAGCCGGCTATAACCTATACACTGCTCCCCGGTCGACAGTTCCACACGCTACATTAACTAACTTCAGTGTAGCGAAGGATACTTGCCGGAGTGAAGGTGGCGAACGGGTGCCAGTCTAGCTATAACCCCCCAAACTCCATCCAGCGCCTGTTCCTACACTCTCGTAGTTTCTACGAGGTTAGTTTAGGTCTAGG